CAACGTTTGTCGGTTCTGCAGATTAAATGGGCACCTCACTCCAACTTCAGCTTGCTAATCTGTCATGATGACGATGTGGTCTGCAAATTGCAAGTGAGAGATGCATTCGCCATTGATATTGATGGCACGCCCCCTCCATTGCAGCGTCTTGAACATGTCCTCCGTTGCATTTGTGAACAATTTCGGGGAAATGACGTCCCCTTGTCTCACTCCTCGAGGCAACGGCATAGGCCTTGTTTTCTGATTCTGTACTTTGAAAGACATGGTGGCTGCTTCGTAGAGATATCTCTCGTTTTGGATATTTCGCTAATCTACTTGGCAACACTAAGGTACTCCAGAGCAGAGCAGATCTCGATCGAGTCAAAGGCCTTCTTATAGTCCACGAATGATATACAGAGGAGCTGATTATATTTTTTGGTTTTCTGTATAATCTGCCATACTGTTTGGCTAAGGTATATATCCACTTTCATCTGGGGGATCTCTCGCTGACGGCTGTCATACGCTCCATGGCCGGTAGTGACAGATGTTTCACCGCGGTCGCATCCTTCGGCGAAGACGTCATCTCGCAGAAGGAGGCGGCGGCTGAGTGTGGCCCCGGGTGGACGGGACGGGTTTTCCCCTCCAACCGCCATAACGGCATGCCGCGAGGAGGCGATGTCCGCGTGTGCCGGACGTCGCTTAAATTTAGAATGTATTCGAAGGTGGTGCCCGCGCCATTGCGGGCAGGCGCTAGGAGGGGTCCGGATGTCTTAATAACAGCAGTTCCCGAATCCCTCCTATTACAGGCGCAGAGTGCACATCGTGTGGTTCTATTCGGTCCGATTCCGACACACCACCCCGCCGCACGGATTTCTCGCCGAAAGACAATAGAAGTAAACGAATTAATAATTCGGATTTAAGTGGAAATGTTTCGTCTCTTAACGGTCGTGATAACTGTGGGGAATACAATTACTGCGAGTTAGTCTCACAGGCTACCGAGTACTTGGCAAAAATCAATGAATTAGTTAATGATCAGGGATCTCGGATGAATGTAGGTAATAAAACGGCAATTATGGATATTACTCAACGAATTACCGGTATCGTATCTTTGTTAGCAATAAAATCCTCTAGCAACGAAACGAAGTTAGCGAATTTTGAGCGACAAATGGAGGGTATCGCAACTCAACAAACGAGTTTAACGTACGCGGACAAACTTAAGCTTCGATTACCACCTAAATCTGCTCCGTGCCCGGTACCTACTGAAGCGCGCGTTCCTAGGCCTTGTGTTATTGCCTATCCCACTACGGAACGCTTAGCGGACTATGCGACCTCGTCAGCAACGAAACAAGCTCTCATGAAGGCTATTAAACCGAGCGATGAGGGATTTCAAATTGTAGGCGTTAAAAAAACCTCTAAGGCAGGCGTCGTGTTACGTGTAGCTAACGAACGGCAGCTTAAGAAACTGGAATCTGTGGACGCCATTAAATCAGTAGGGTTGCGCTTAGAAAAACCGAAAGGCCGTAGGTCCCGTATAATTGTAAAAGACGTACCCGGTTCTATGGAAGATCGTGCCTTCCTAACAGCTTTATACCGTCAGAATATCAAGGACGAATTAAAATTAAGTGAGAATGATTTTATTAATTGAGCA